GGCTTGTCTCGGAGAGAGCCTGGCCAGGATGGAGCTGTTCCTGTTCTTCACCTCGCTGTTGCAGAAGTTCACCTTCTCTCCCCCTCCAGGAGTGCAGGAGTCTGAACTGGACCTCACTCCTGCTGTGGGCTTTACTCTGAGCCCACAGCCTCACCAGCTGTGTGCCCTGAGACAGGGGTAGTAATCCACAAGAAAGTCATCACCACTTACTTCATGTCCAGGACTGTCTGTTGGTCTAACTTCCCCTACTCAATCCCTACTTTCCTGCTGTGAAGATCATATAGCAGGAGGATGAACAGTCTGTTAATGAACACTGAGCAGTTCATATCAGTCCAATCGTTATGTGACGTACATTGTTTCACTTAAGGTTGAGATCGAAGTAGCTGTTCTGTAAGATACACGGTAATCATTGTACAAGCATTATTTATTTTCCTTTCTGTTTTTAAAAGTTTGCTTTACTTTAATGTGACTAATCTTCAAAAAGTTTTTTTCTATAACTTGAAAATCTTTAAATATCCATTTCTGCTGTGCTGCGAATAATTAAAAGCATTAAAAAGTTTATCCAAATATTTAATGAAGCGATTAACAGTTCAGATGCATCGGGGAATTACTCAAGTGTGCCAGTTGATGGTGCAGTAGCTTCCTGATTGGTGTGTTTTCAGTACTGTAGTGAAAAGCCCCGGAAATATTTATACTATGTAATGTGCTAAAATGTTAAGCTTTGCAGGTAAGGCTGAAACCACAACATTTTGAGGAAGAAAGAAAAATGTAAAAATACCAAATATGTTTGAACTATGCATGTTAGTGTGATTAACCGGAACAGTAAGTGTTTCCTTTACTTCCACCAAAGGCACTCAAGCACTGCTAAAAGAAAAATATCCTTCCCGTTCGTATTTAACAACACGGTTAAACTAAGACCTGGTTTATCTTGAAACATGATCAAGCAAGCAATAGATTGTAGGGAAAGTCCACTTATTGTGTGTTTTTCAATTACACCTAAGACATTTGCTTGTCATGCACACTTGTGTCCCATGTTGTGTTCAGGAAGTTGGTGCTTAGGGGACTGTAAGAGTTTGCAGGGAGGGGAGATGAGGCAGGGGTATCTGGTTCCCTGGCATAGGGGGGGGGGCTTACTTAGTAGATGCAATATTTTTGTGCTGCACACACAGTGATGCCACATTACCCTTTTGAGTGTGGCATCTCTAGGCTTCTAACACTGTTCATTAATAATGACATTAGAAAGTATTTCAGAGCCCTTCAAGAGATTAGAGGCCTTTTTCTCTAAAGGTATCTAAGTGCACTAACACCAAAGCATCATTATCTTTTTTTTCCTATTATTCTTTTTTATTGTCCTTTATGCTGCTTGTCATCTGTCTGTTTTTGAACTGCTTCATCCAAATGCAGGGCCATGGGGGAGCTGGAACCTCTTGACAAGCAATGGGTGTAAGGTGGGCTACACCCTGAATGGGATGCCGGTCCATCACAGGTCTCACACACACACGTACACACACTCTCACGGGCACCAATTTTTCCAGAAGCCAAGCAAACATGGACCGTGGAAGGAACGAGTACCTGGAAGACACTCACACGAACACAGACTCCATGCTGACTGTGTCCCAAGATTAGAATTGAACCCAGGGGCCTACTGTTTTGTTGTTTCCAGAAGTTTTTGTTTTCTCTCAAATGCTTTTCAAAATCTTTTCTTGCTCTTTGCAAACGGTAATGACTACAGTGCTGTTTTCTTGTCAATGTTTAATTTTAATGTCAATTTTTTTTTAAGACTGTCTCTGTTAGGGTCTGTAGACAAAGTCCTGTTTTGGGTACAGTAAATGATTTTTCCTTTCTTTTCAATGTTTCATTTCATGGTTTTATTACAAACTATTTATTTCCAGTATAGTATAATGGAGGGCTGAGACATTCCTCCCTCCAGGAGCCCCAGAGCTGTGAACAGGCCTCGACAGTGACGGTAATCAGGGACAGAGTCAGGAAGGGAGAAGTGGAATTGGGCTCTAGGGCTCCAATACTGGTGAAATGGGGTACGAGAGGTGAAACTGTGACGGTTTAAATGGTGGTGGTATAAAGAGACACAACTGCAGGAGTTAATCTAGATTGATGATCTATTCTTTTCTTTGGCAGGAAAACCATTTGACACCAAGGAACCTGTATACTGTGCTGTTTCCAACATTATATCCTCCATAGTGTATGGAGACAGGTTTGATTATGCTGATCCAGTCTACCAGGCTATGCAGAATAGGGCTTATCACATGATCAGGCTCAGTGGATCTCCTCCCCCTGAGTTCTGGTTGAGTTTGTGAGGCTGGTGGTTTTATCTAATCAAAGGATTCCAGCCCTCATTGAGTTGGTGATTGATGATTTGCTGAACAGGTTTTCTCAGTTATTTAAGTTCCTGTCATTGCTGTCATTGCCATTTATACCTGAACTATTCTGTTTCTAACCAACAGTGTCCAATACGATATCCAACAGAACAGTGCAGCTTAAAAAAGGTCCTAGAGAGCATGTTTATGTGGCTTTCTGGGAATATCCATCCTTTTGATCACCGATGTGATTTTCTGTATATAGGGACACTGGACATCAGCAAAGCTGTGTCTAGAAAGCTGATTAACCTTGCATTGTGCAGAATCTAGAAAACATGAACCATTTATGGTTATGAATCAAACTGTATACTATGTAAAGGGAATCATGTATGTAGACAGCGATTGCAGGTAAATTTCATATCAATTATAAATCCAACAGCAGAAGGAGACTAGACATAAAGGTTGAAATTCTCAGTTCATCAGTGCCTCAGCACTGATTTTTACATATTTAAATGTCTGTTAACTACTGGCCTTTGGTAAAAAGAGTAGTTTTCAGAAACAAGCAATAGTGTCCATTGACAATACAGAGTAAGAATAAGTAACTGGTGATTTTCTACACCTCAGGGAGCAACATGAAGTTTTTTCTTGTGAAGTGAATTTCATTTTTGGTTTAGGATTTTTCAACCTTACAGATTGATTTCAAGTAATGATCATCAATCGAAGGATATGTGTAGTGTACAAATGTGTTTACAAACATGATTTGATAAATTAAATTTGAACGTCTAATGAAAAGGCACAGAGATTTCTACAGACTCGACCGGCTTAGTTTACATTTCACACGAGAGAGGTTTCTCATTTTACAGTGTTAACCTTGGCTAAGGAGGTGGAGCCAAAATCATCACTCCCTTTGTGCTTTTTTATCTTGTGCATACATTTTTTGCATTTATTATGGTAATCACAAATAGGATGCGATAGCAGCTGAAAATTTCCTCACATATACGTGACCCCCTAAAACAAGGACTATTCTTCCACGACTGCTCCACCTAACAATTACTGTATAGGGGGTGCTAGGACTGGCAAACCCACAGGTTTTGTTCATCTCCCAGAATCACCAGTGCAGGCACAGACCAGCAACAGACACTAGCATCTAAGCATTCATCACTACCCAAAAATACAGCATCAGCAAGACAACACAAACTGTAACTCCAAGGGCACACTTGATTCCAGAGGCTCAACAGCCCATTTCGGAGATAAGGAAGTGGCACTGCACCGTATCCGTGACTGACATCATAAAATACTGGAATGATGAGTCTGGTCCCAAACTCTGCAGAGTTGTTAACAAGCTTCACTGTTTTGTAACCAGTAAACCAGGTATCCGGGCCCTCTCGCCTCTTTTTTTCCTTTAATGCAACTCCCCCTCTGCCCGAGGTGTGGTCCAAGCTGGCTCAGCAACCCCTCACGCCTCCGTTTGACAGGACCGAAGGTGTGGCAATCCGATTGTGACTTGACACCAGTGTTTTCTTCAATTCCTGCTCATCGTTTCCACTGTCTGCATTTGAAGACTTTGAAGTTGGGGGAGGAAATAAACAGAGGAGAAGTACAGACACACCCATTGAAACAATCCTGGCCGCTAAATGCAAACTTAATTAATCGGACCCACTCCTCCCTCGACTGTTAATACTCTGTGACAATCGCATCTTTTAAAATGTTCATTTCTAGCCTGTCCAGTACTCAAACGATTACATTACATTGTGCTTTTTCAAGTTGCGCAATAACTCTCTCTTACGGCCCATCTTGGCAAAGGACCAAAACCTGGAGACACTTTTACTGTATTTAAAGTTGCAGTGTACAGTTTCTCTTCGCTACCACGTAGCAAATTCTGTCCAGTGTCATAAACATACAAACGAAGTGTAAAAGGTTGAATGTTCTTATCCTTTACAGTGATAGGTTCAAGTTTCGTAAGCCTAAAACATGAGCCATTCAGGGAAGACATGAGTTTTGTGATTTTCCAGATTAATGCCTTCTCAGTATCACTCGTTAGCCAAATCCCTTGACTACATGATCCTCTGCGGTGAAACGCCCACTGCTGTGACTCCCATGGCGTCAGGTGTGTTCTTCTTATTTAAGGTGCGTTGCTGAGGCGCTGTGTGCAAATATAATTGGCAATTTTCAGTGGAAAGGGACAGCAAAAACAGGCCATGTGAAAGATCGCAATCTGCATTACAATCCAGCTCGTTTTCCTGAAAAGCCATTGAAAATAAACCTTACCAGCTAATTGGGGATTGCGAAAATGTTTCTTCCAGAAGGTTTTCTGCAACTTTCCACTGTGACGCTGCTCCTGGCTGCGGTGATAGTGATTTCTGTGGTTTATATCTTCATGGGGTCGACACCCGAGTCTGCCAAGACACCTCCGGGACCCCCAGCCCTGCCGCTCCTAGGAAACCTGCTCTCGCTGGATCTGAAGAGGCTGGATCTGTCTCTTGTGGAGGTAAGATGTAATAATATTTAGGTGTCATAGGCATCAGCTCTGAAGATGTTGTGTGAGCTCAAGCATCCCCAGTATTTTTGATCATAATATGTAAAAGCAGGGGTCAATGCATTTTTACTTTGTCTGTTCGGTTAACATAGGATTGAGGTTATGTGCTGCTCAGTAACTGTTGTGCTATGGCCTTGACTCTGTAGTGAGCTGATCAGACGTATTTAAGAATGAGTCAGTTGGTCGTTGTCAGGCACAGTGGTGCAGAGATTAGCAATGCTGCCTTGTAGTACCTGGCTTCCAGGTTCAATTCCTGGGGTGCGGTCTGCATGGGATGCTTACAGACAGTACCCCCAATTCCCCCCTATTTGCATGCGTTTCCTTTGGGTGCTCTGGGTTCCTCCAACACTACAAAAGCAATCAAGGTAGGTCAATTGGATTCTGGGAAATAGACCCTGGCGTGAGTGTGGCTGTGTCTTCCTTGTGATGGGATGGTGTCCCATTCAGGGTGCATCCTGCCTTGCACCTGTTGCTTGCCAGGATAAGTTCCTGCTCTCCCTCGACCCTGAATTTGATAAATCTGCTGGAAAAGGGATGTGTGAATGGATTCTGTTGACTTACCTTTTAACAACTTACAAGTTAATGATGAGCAGATGTAGTTTTTGATGTCACAAAAGTGTCTCTGCTCAGGACAGCCATTGACAACAAGAACACCTTGCAGGTATTATGTTTCAGACAATTCTGAAACCAGGGCAACAGCAACAAAAAAACAGCACCAGACAAACACCGGTATGCGTGTGATTTGAATTCTGATAGTGGCACAGAAAGCGATTTTTCAGTGAGCTTTATGTTGGTGAGTTACCTGACACCGATTAAGGAGAAAAACTGTGGAGATACAGATCATTTAATCCGCTGCACAGCGGAACATGTTGTTCTTTAACACACTGTTAATGACTCCATTAACAATAAGAAAGGATTCAGTTTTGTTAAGATTAAGGCGTTTTACCCACCCACAATAACTTAGAGAAACTGGCACCTTTGTATTGTAAGTCATATTATAATAAATAGCACTCTGAATCATTCTCTGATCACGCTTCTCAAGACATTTTTTCAGACTATATTGGACCTTTAGTGTATGTGGATCTACATTATTGCAGATGTGACCCTCCCAGGTTGCAGTTATTGGTGTGTGCATATTGATGAACTGTATGTTATGCATTGTAAAACGTTCCAATACATTTTCACTGCAGGTCAGACTCAGTGTATTCATTGTTTTATGTGTTTAATTGTGTTTAAGGATAAAAATACAAAGAGAACAACAGTAACAATGATGACTTTTTAATGGGCAAAATAATGTTTTCCTATATTTTTACACTTTACTTCTCATTCCATATTTTTAGCTCTCAAGATAGTGTTGGTGGAAGTAACATTTACCCTGCAAATCCATCATCCTTACATTTTGCTTTCATAGGTATTTTTTTGGATCACAGTTGTGTGTGCTTTGCTTGTAGCGATTTAAACCAAGAATGTCATCCAGTTGTTTCTTGAAGGAAACCAAGGCATCAGCTTTGATCACGGCATCCCCATCCTGTAACATCACATAACTTTGAAGCTGACAATTCATACATTTCCAGATTGATCTTCGGTTCCTGAATTAAGTCAAATGCTGCATATTGCACTACAATTAAAGACTAGCTGGAGAAAAGTCCTGCAATGGAGAGGAATGGAAGTGTCCAGGATGTCTGTCCCTGTTCCAGGAGTTGGAGCCTCTTTGTGGACGCTGTGGGATTCTCAATTATTGTAAAACAATTGTGTGACTGTAGTAAATGGGCCTACTTTTAATATGAAAAGGAGAACAAAGCACTTTAAGGAAATGTTTAATTTGACTTTATTCATTAATTATTTTACTGAATTGAAATTAATTTACTAATTACCATATTGCACATTGTTCAATGGTGCTGTGCAACTCTTTCTCTCTCCCTGTGCCCCAGTTGTCTAAGACGTATGGCAGTGTCTTCACTGTGCACCTCGGCCCCATGAGAGTAGTGGTCCTGGCTGGTTACAAGACAGTGAAAGAGGCGCTTGTTGACTACCCTGAGGAGTTTGGGAGCAGGCTCATCACACCGATATTTCACGATATCAATCAAGGACACGGTAAAAATGTTTCTGCTGAAGCACAGGATGATTTGTTAATACAAATTTCAGCGTCTTGCACTTTATTATAAAGAAATTAGTATTTTCATATTGCCACAAAGTCAGGTTAAAGTTTTTCTCCAGAGAGCTTTAGATGGCAGTTTTTCACGTTTTAGAGGTACGTACTGCTGTGTTTAAATCCTTCCTTTAGCTACTGTACTTCTTAGTAGTAGTATGTTCATTGTAGAGACATTATTAAGTGCATTGTGAGTTTTTACTCATTTAGTGATCTCTTCATCTATCTGATCATTACAATTCGTGTTTGGCTCAAATCCAGGTATCATTTTTGCAAACGGGAACTCGTGGAAGGAGATGAGGAGGTTTGCTCTGTCTAATCTGCGGGACTTTGGAATGGGAAGGAAAGGGAGTGAGGAAAAGATCATCGAGGAAATCCAGTACCTCACTGAAGTGTTTGAAGCACATGGAGGTAGAAGGATTAGGCATTCATTTTCACAGGGGCCTTTGTCGGTTTTCAAGATACAAAAGCACCCTTTGAAATGTAATTCAACTGATGTAATTGATATTATGTCAATGGATAATCTGAGGACAGATGGTGTCCAGGTGCCAGTGACCTATGGGAGTGTCTGCAAATAGTCTGTTTTGTATCTGGGTGACTTGATACAGGTGACACAGGCAAATCTTTCAGCTGTAGGGGAGAAAGACTATGATACAAATTTACATGATACAAAGAAATGAGGGTCTTTAAAATCAGTCCTGAACTTGATGGGATCTCTCCTTCAGTATGAGCTGAAGGAACAGGAGAAAGAAATTGAAATATTTCATTTAAATGTTTTCTCTCTCAAATTATTTTCTTACCCTTTGCAAAGAAATATGACTAAACATTGTTTGTTCTGATCAATATTCTTCCCTTAACATGCCCCTGAGCTGTGAACAGGCCTCGACAGTGATAGTAATCAGGGACAGAGTCAGGAAGGGAGAAGTGGAATTGGGCTCTAGTGAGCACTGGTGAATTGGGGTTCGAGAGGTGAAACTGGGAGCACACAGGGGTGGTGGTATAGAGAGACACAACTGCAGGAGGTATTCCAGACTGATGCTGTATTCTTTCCTTTGGCAGGAAAACCATTTGACACCACAGAACCTGTAAACTGTGCTGTTTCCAACATTATATCCTCCATAGTGTATGGAGACAGGTTTGATTATGCTGACCCAGTCTTCCAGGCTATGGTGAAAAGGGCTAATCACATGATCAAGCTCAGTGGATCTCCTGCTATCCAGGTAACATTCTGTTGTAAAAATATGATTAAGAGAAACTTCGGAGTGGTCTTAGAGAACACAACAATACTAGAAAGCAAATTACCTTTAATTTCAATGTAATCCAAAATACACATACAGTTAAAGCAGAAATCCCAAACCAGTGTATGAATGATCTGGAGGCACTGTGCTGTGCTGTAGGACTTTCATCCTTCAGATGAGACAGTAAACCAGGGTCCTGGCTACTAGTGGTCTTTGAAATGCTCTGGGGGTTAAGTTTAAGGAACATAATATTTTCTTTTTCTCTGTAGCTCTACAACATCTTCCCTTTCCTTGGGTTTTTATTGAAAGCCAGGAAGAAGATTCTGATGGAAGTTGCAGAAAACATTGCTGACATGAAAAACATTGTGAAGCAGCTGCAGCAGACCTTACAGGAGCACGATAAGAGGGGGTTTGTGGATGCGTTCTTGATCAAGCAGCAGGAGGTAAGAGAGTTTACTGTGACTGGTTAGGAAACTCTGGGATTTTGCCTTAAAGGAGCCCAAAGTGTTGAATCAACAGTGTTTCTCCTGGGGCTGGTAGACTAATGACTCAGTTGTGATGCCTGTCACTTGAACAGACACACTGGAAGGGTTTCCCTCCGCTTGTTGTGTTCCACCATTTTAATTTTTTTAGTTCAAGTAGGGAGCTGAGCCAGCATGCCTAGGCTGCAAAGGAGCAAGTAAAGGTTTATTCCACACTGAGAAGAGAAGAAAAGAAACTCAACGTTCCAGCTGTTGAGCCTTCTTTGGATGTGACACCCGACCGGACACAGAGGACAATTACGCAGCTCATCCTTGTTCTGTTTAGGGACTAATTGGGTGGTAATGTAGAAAATGTGCTCACCCTGAGTGCCATCTGGGCACCTGGGGGAGTCCTGCTGAATACGTCACATTGACGCGGGAAACGCTTCGTCAGAGAAGCAGGACACTGTCTTGGGCAGATTCAGTTTTTACTGAGCTCCATAAGAAGAGCAACATGGAATTGGGCTTCCCCTGCAAAACAGACAGACTGCAGGGGTTTCCCAACTCTTATATGCAGTGCAGGCTCAGAAAGGAGTTGATGTTTCACACTTCGGGTGCTTGACATTTTCTCTGATATGTTATTCCTTTTTGTCGTGTGCTTTGAGAATGTGTCCTATCCTTTGATATGTAACAGAAGTTGGTTCCGCATACATTGATACGTAATTCTACACTTAACATTCTATAGAGGGAAATTAACTGATGCAGCAGTTAAAGGAAAACAGCTTTATTTGGTCTTCACATACACTTTAATAACAGATGGAAGGTAGACCGGAACTGACATCAATAATTAGGACTTGTGGACTTAGGATATAGTGAAAATTCCAATTTAGATTTCACTGTTCAGGATCTGTAATATGTCTGAATCGATAACTTATTTAAAGAGCAAACTACAAATCTCGAGCATGTTTTCCTCTTTTGACATTCATTCAAGCTTTCAGGCCAGAGAGACTCCCATTTCCATGACGATAATCTGATACATGCATCTGGAAACATGTTTGGTGCTGGGACTGAAACAACAGGCACCACACTCCGCTGGGGGCTGCTGCTGATGGCTAAATATCCCCACATCCAAAGTAAGAGCCCCCCTGCTGACTCTCTCAACACTCTGGGTTACCAGGGAAAACCCCTGTGGTCCAGTTTTAGATGTGCACATTTGCCCAAACTGTATTGCATAACAACTGAGGAGGGCATGCCAATTTATGGTGTATGAAATTTAAAATAAATCTGAAAATATCACAAGCACTTAAATCTGTTTCAGATTGCAACTGCAGATAATACTGCAGAAAAATAGAGATTCAAGTTTAAACCCCTCAGATATTACGTCACCTTGAAATCCCACCCTTACCTAACCATCACATCACTGTTTCAAATGAATGGAGGCCAAATGGCCCATTTAGCATGTTTCATGGTTAATAGCTAATAAGATCTCATCTAGGTTTTTCTTGAAGGAAACTAGAGAATTGGCTTCAGGCACATGACTAGTTGTCTTGTTCCAGACTCCCACTGCCCTTTGGGTGAAGAAGTGCTTCCTGTTCTTGGTTTTAAATGCACTTCCACATAGTGGAACATCCTGTTAATGTTTCACTGTTTTCTTTTGAAATATTTTGCAAACAGAAAAGGTTCAGGAGGAAATTGAGAAGGTTGTCGGCACAAAGCAGCCGAGGGCTGAACATCGGAGAAGCATGCCCTACACCGATGCTGTGATACATGAAATCCAGCGCCTGGCAAATGTCGTTCCACTGAACCTTCCTCACATGACAGCGGCAGATGTTCACTTCCAGGGCTACTTCATCAAAAAGGCATGTAGACGGCACTCTGTCTCATACTGCTGATCAGGTGCATGTTGGGATTGATGTGAAGACTCCAGGAAAAATTGAAATATCGATGAGGCAGTAATGCCAATGGATTTTTACTGTATAATTTTAAAACTTGAAATCATTACATTTCTGTGACATAAAGTCATCTGAAAAGTTTTTTTGGGAAAAAATAAAATACATTTCAGATTAAGTAGTAAACTTTAGTGGAGAGAAAACCAGCAGAGCCAGAGTTACTTCTTTACTGGATGTTAGAATCTCTGCTCTCTATGAATGAATGAGGGTCTTACTTCTGCTTGTCATTGGCTCACTTCAGGGGACCCCTGTCTTTCCTTTGCTGACCTCAGTGCTCCAGGATGAGACCCAGTGGGAAACGCCTCATCAGTTCAACCCTGCTCACTTCCTGGACCCTGAGGGCCAGTTTGTGAAGAAGGACGCCTTCATGGCTTTTTCTGCAGGTACAGGACTGCGGTGTGCAGCTCATTTGTAAAAAGTATTTATATCTCATGTTGCATCACTAATATGAATGACCCTGGATAGAACAGAGATAATAACACAGTCTGAACATTTAAATAAAAAAGGGTCACTTCATCATTTCTCAAGTAGCGTGATGAGTGGGCAATACAGCCTAAACACATTGACACCCAGTTCTGCAGTGTGGGATTCAGCACAGACACTCACAGTCCATGAAAAGGAGTAACCTAACCTGTGGTGTTTGCTGTCCCAGGACGCAGGGCTTGTCTCGGAGAGAGCCTGGCCAGGATGAGCTGTTCCTGATCTTCACCTCGCTGTTGCAGAAGTTCACCTTCTCTCCCCCTCCAGGAGTGCAGGAGTCTGAACTGGACCTCACTCCTGTTTTGGGCCTCACTATGAACCCATCGCTTCACCAGCTGTGTGCTCTTAGACGGGCGTAGGGCACCAGCTGTGTGCTCTGAGATGAGGGGAGTGTATTGGCGAACTACACTGATGGGCACTTGCTTCAAGTTCGGGGCCTGTTGGTTTAATTGCCCTTTGCCTCTCCCTACTGCTTTTTGCCGTGAATATCAGGAGGATGAACAGTCTGTTAAAGTACACTGTGCAGCTTAAATCAGTCCAATTAGTTACGCATGAAATGTCTTTTCACTTGAAGATATTGGGTAATAATTTTGCTAAACTTTAGTTCCTGTTTGTGTTCTTTATATCAAACGTTTTGCCTAAAACGAGTTCTCTCCAAAATGTTTTGAGTTATTAAAAGAAAATCTGGATAACTTTATTTCTTAAGCTCTGCGAACAATTAAAAGTATTTGAACATCTTACACAAACCTTCAATGAAGTGATTAACAGCTCAAATAAGACAGAAACTTACTCAAGTGTGCCAGTTAATGATAGCTTGCTGATGTACTGGGTGAAGATTTTCCTATTTGTGTCTCAAGACTGTACTGAAAAGTGTTGGAAATATTTTTACTATCTAACAAGCTACACAGGCTAGTTTGCTGTTGGCTTGTATTTGTTAGGAGGGGTATTAGAGGACAGTCCAGTGTTTGCGCACAATTCAGGACTTTTCCAGTGTATCCCTTCTCCCTGTAGTCTAGAAAAAAAGGAAATATTGATGGCATTTGAACTATACACACATTCAGTGTGATAAGGCTGAAAATGTGTTTTCTTTATGTCCACTCAAGGTGCTGCAACAGTTTCAGTATAAAAATATGCTTCCAGTTCATGCTGAATAACGCGGTCAAACTGAGATTTGATTTATCCTTCAACGTGATAAAAAGAACTCAGAGTTGTTTAGATGATGCTGTGTTGTGACAAGGAAGAAAGTGAGATCCAAGAAGAGTGTAAAACCTTACTCACTCTTTGGCGTTTGGTAAATGAATGCTGCTGTGCAGGTTGGTTACAAAAGGTACTTTGAAGAAGTTACATGTTTGCATTTCATTATGTTTCTAAAGAAGTGCATTTGTATTCAAATACATTAACACCCATGCTCCAAGCAGTGTTTTGCTTCCTTGTAGAAGGCATACTGTTGGTCATCCATCCACAGCTCATCAGGGAATGGGAAGAAGGTGAGATACACCCTGCAGGGGGCACCAGTCCATTGCAGGACACACACAAACACACACACACACTTACACCAGGGCCAGTTTCCTCAAATGCCAATTCAACTACCAGTATGTCTTTAGACAGAAGAAATGGAGCACCCAGAGGAAACCTATGTGAACAGGAGGAGAGCATACAAACTCCACGCAGATAGCATCAGTTTATAGGAATTAAACCCAGGGACACACTGCTGTGATCCAGCCCTGTTAACCATTGTGCCACCATGCTGCCTGCTAGTGATCCCAATTGTTGTTATAGTTTACTATAGTATATCATGAACTAAAATAAAATACAGGGCATTTTGCTATAAAGGAGGGAGGGTATAGATTCTTATCCTGTGATAAAACAAAGAGCATTGCTTCAGCATGGTGTGTGGGAGAAGAGACCACATGGGTAAAATGGCTATTCTGATGAAAAATATTTCCTTTTCATTTCACATTGCGCTTTTTGTGATCCTGTGTCTGTGTGGCCGCCCTGCAATGGACTGGCGTCCAGTCCAAGTCCAAGTCCCCTGCCTTGGGGCTCTTGCTTGATGTCTCCCCTGTGACCCTGAATTGGAAGACGTGGTTAGAAAATGGATGGATGCGGAACAGTAAATACTTTATCGAATAAGTTTGCTTTAAGCAGTGTCAGAACTGCCACGCAGATACAGGTGTAGAGAACACACACTGTATGTAGCACAGGGCTGTCATGTTACAGTACGTCCCCACAATCATTAATTGCAACACCAGGTATTGTATGATTCTAAGGCCCTGGAAAGCCACAATCCACACGTTTATAGGTCACATTTACACCATCAGTGGAGGGTCAGGGTTTATATATCTGGGAGGCAGGTGGCTGGGACAAGTGGTCAGAGGCCTCACATACCCAGGAGCCCTTTGACTCCTCATGTATATGTGGCTGGTTTCCGTGGAGACCAAGCTCCAGCTCGCACACAGCTGCGTGCGCTTTGGTAGTTAGTAGCTACTTGATTCAAGGATTTCCTCCAGCTGTTTCTTGAAGGAAACCAGGACAGCAACGTCAGAATTGATCAAAAAAGGTCTATTTCTACGACATCAGATAACTTTGAACCTGTCAATTAATAAATCAATTACTGAATTAAGGCACATACAGACTATCACATCCAAATGAAGGAAATGGAGAGGGATGGAAGTGTTCCGGGTGCCTGTCTCTATTCCAGAGGCTTGCGCAGAAGCGGTAGGATTTTTGTCAAACTTTTTCAACAATGGTGTGACTGTAGTCTCTGGTAATACAGTATCTATACACACACACAACACAAATACAAGGGAAGATAACAGAGAAATGATCTAAAAACGCATTGAATATTAGATTCATGGGTTTGCTTGAAACAGCTTAATTAAAGGTATTCATGGGTATTAAATGGTTCGGTATATAGCTAATCACAACCAAAATGACAGCAGCTCTGGACCTGTTTATACAGTATGCTGAGAATATTTATTCGGCGGTAATCACGCTGTATGTGATACCGTAACTTTGAGAGAGTTTATTTCCTATGGGCTAGCCACCGGTGCTGGACCGAATATTCAGATCTATCGGTTTTTCTTTGAATTGTAGGCAAGGTCTTTTGGTCTATTCGTATTTCTTGAACATTATCGTAATGGAAAATTCTTCTCCTCTCTAAGGAATCTGCACATTCGGAAATGTATCAAACGCATGTTGTGTTAATTTTTCCTGCAGGAGGGGGGTAGCTCCCAAAAGTATCCTTGCAGTTAAAATAGGTTTTTCCTCCCCCTGTGCTGTGCAGCGTATTTTTCTGTATCCAAAATATGGGGATTTGTAGTTATTTAAAGAGGCAGTGGAATGCTGCGTGAGTATTTCAACAGACAATGATAATCTTAATAATGGCGTTTCTTTTTATATTCGCGAGTACTACTGAACGGGAGGTGATGTAAAAACACCAGCAAGGCGTCTTCGCCTCCCCCTTCTAACAGAACAGCAGATGAGAAGCATCAGTGATTGGATCACGGTGGTTTCTTCGTCGATTGTCAATTGGTAACAGGTGAGCTGTGTTCAGTCACCTAATTGAGATTCAAAATGGAAAAAAAGGTCCATACCCAATCACTAGGGCAACCACCTTCCTAGCACGAACCAATCAGTAATGAAAGTCTATTCACTAGCCGTCTCCGTGAATTTAAAGAAGCGGAAAACTTCCTTTGATACTGTATGTCCTTACTTATAATCCACTGGATCATTAAACGCTGCGAGACTCTCGCAACCCTGCTTCTGGGGTGCCAGAGCTCAGCAGGTTCTATACTTAGTAGGAGCAGGACTAACCATCCAGCTGATGTAAAATTCTGAAAGAGATTTAACAAGCCACAGGAGCTCCTAGTTCAACAGCGGGTTACCTGTAAAACCACCTCAACTGGCATTTTTTCTGGAAAAGGGATGAGATCCCTGCTATAGTCCAGCCTTTTGCTGTGAAAACAGAGGGTTGAACATTCCTGGGCTGGATTGCAAGGCAGGGTCCTTGCACAATCCAGACATACCAGTTACAATACTCCACAGCTTTGATGAAGGAACCAAAGATGAGGTGGGAACAAGGTTCCCAGGCTGGAATTGGTCTCAAATCCCAGCTAGGCACCTTGGTCACTGTGCTGTAGCATCACTGACAAGCCTGTGCTCCTGTCAATACTAGTGTTCTTCTGCAGTCACAGTGCTCAGGCTATTTAATCTGTATTAGAGGCATGACAACAGCAGAACTGAAGCCACTGGTGTAGTGCAAGGCAACATGTCATTAAGACAGAAACACTACATATCACCCCCAACGCCCCCTTATTATACATGTTAAGATATAGCGGTTTTCCTCCAGGTGGCATTGTTGCCAAAGAAAAGCTACTCCTGAAGGTAGTCATTTCCCCAATTACTGAATTTTCAGATCAGAAAAGCCTTGGGGAGTATGCAAAAGGCCCCACAACAGAGGACAGTTAATGGCTGCATGCAAAGACTTCTAGTGACACCTTCACTTTATTGCACAGGCATGATACAGGGTCAAGGACATAACCGGTCAGAGGATCAACATACAAACCAGTTTCACATTACAGATGCATTGTTGAGGGTGTCCCATTCCCAATAGGGAGCTTCAGTTAGCCATCTTCATTCTTCCCCACACAAAGAATGGGACTCTCCCCCCCCAGCTGGGAGAAAGAAAAGGTTACATGACCAGTTACTGATACAGTTGTCATTGTAGCATTTTCCAAGTATCACAGTCCAATACTTGGAACCTTCCAACCCAGACCTCCAAGCTTTGGGGTCTGCAGTGTGAACATGACTAGTCAATGACAGCCACACCATCCCACAGACTTGTCCAGTAGAGATACTGCTGCGAGGAAGCTTCCTTTAACACAAAGGCAGGACACACTGGGCTCTTCCTGGTATACAGCTTTCCTGGAGACTAAACCCTTTTGAATGGTTTAGTTGTGAACATGATTGAACTCCAACAGCGTGCTGCCAAGACATACAGAATGGCATTTCCAGGTGTCCATTTAAGAGGGATCAATGCAGGGTATGGTACATACCCATGGAGCCTCAGTTCTACAGGCCATTGTATAGTCCTGTGCTTTAAAACAGCCTCCAGAGTCAATACAGAACAGCCAGTTAACCCCCCCCGTCTAAATCCATAGATAAATTCTCATGCAACACCCTGAACATTTCAGCATCAGTGACTGGTGGCAAATTTACTAAAAGTCAACTCACCCCAACAGAGCTTACCCATGAGCTGGCAAAAACAGCCTTGTCACACACCACCTCAACACATTTAGCTGGACAGCACCATTTCCAAGGAAGATCCCACCGATGATCAGCTAGCTTCAGTAACAGTGTTCTGGTTGAATATGCCGACCCAGTAACATCCAGGCCACAGGAACATTGACAGTACAGCTTCCACTTAATACTTCTCATATTCTTCTCCAACTCCAAACACCATATAAATGTTGTCCTCCCAGGCTTCACTTTTATAAGCCTCTTCATTAACTACAGGGGTTGGGCTTGTTCTGTAGGAACCTATCCCAAAAGTCCGTGTGTGTCCAGCCCAATAACACACACCTGCTTCCTGATCCTTGCCTGCTTAGAAGCCATCTTGGCTCAGAGAAGCACCACAGCCTGGGCTTGAGCCAAAATGCAAGATTCTTACTGAAGCCTTCTAGAGACACTACGACATTGCTTTAATACATTTTCCTTGAACACTTTTAGACGTGTGTTCTTTCTAAACCCTTCAGCATACCTCAAAATATTTCAGAAATAGATTAAGAGAGAAAGATAATGATCTGATCAGGTTTATATATATATTCCTTTATACTAATACAGGTTTGTGATTTAACTCTTAAATCACATCATCACTCAATGTTATTTCTCTTCCTATGTCAGAACCCTTGTCGATGTCTGCTTTGATTGAAATGGTGCTCTCAGTTGATGTATCACTGCAGTTAACCAATTTAAAAAGATAAGTTGCAGAAATATAGCGTGAACTACTTTGACATGATCCAAGTGAAACATGAAGGGATGTCAAGGGGAAGTGTATTTAAAAGTTCTTTACACAAAGAGGTGTGGGAGAATGGCACAGGTGATCCACACATTTCGTTGAAGCCAACAGCCTGTCTACTTTCGAGCAATGGCTGCGTGAGATTATCCAATCAAACTGATACCAGTAACCAGAATGTGAACTTTCTCGTGTTCTTGTAACTTCTTAAATTAACACATCAGCTGCATGACTAATAAGGAGTACAAAGATAGAAAACTGACTGGATGATAAACGATTACAGATGAAAAATCTGAATCTGGCTTCTTGGTGCAGAGTTAAGATAAATCAGGTTGTAGAACAGCTTAACCTGCTAAGAACAATATGTAGCTCCCTTACATATTGTTACATTCCTTCATTAACATTCCTGTGGCTCTCATATACAATTAAGGATTTTAATGTACTAACTTTGATTACTCAGATGGCCATGGACAACAATTATTTTGAAACTTGTAGCTGATGGAGGTTTCAGAAAACATGCTCGATTTCTTCCACAAGTTTCCAGGTGGAGCCAAGAAAAAAAGCTGCCTGCACCGTCAGACTGTGGCCACGCCCACTCGAATGACATCTCTCGCAGGCCACGCCCCGCGCACCTGTGCGCCAGGTTCTGCTGGAGAGAGCGGAGCTGAGTGAGTTTGTTCCGCGTCTTTTACCATTATTTTTTATTTTTCTTTTATTTTAATGTAGATAAAATGTAATTCATGCACCTATGTAGTCGAAATCTCGCAAGATAAATTGGTAAAACACGTATTTTCCTTGGAAGCTAAATAACATTTTTTAATGTATGTCTTTTCTTTTTCAACTCTTGTCTTATTTTTAACAAGACACTTGTGTTACACAGACAACGTGTGTATTTCTTTTAAATCGAAGGAAAGCTCTGTTGTAGCAGTAATACTGCTGTACTGCCAGAAT